TGCAGAGATGGCTCCCCGGAGGGCAGGCCTGTGCGACATCCACTCTGTCAGGATGTCCATGTCCTCCACGGTGGGAGCTGGCCGTGTCACTTAGGGCTCCAACTCCAGGCAGAACAGACGCCACACTTACCACACACCCAGCCCTGCCCCTCGCTCACCCATTCCAGGGCTCTGAGGATCAGGGGAACCAGCAAGGCCACAGCTTCCCTGGCATTCGCTGTGTCTAACACTCACAGAGGCCCCTCAATAGCAGTGTGGTTGCTGATGAGCTGCGGATGCCTCTACCCTCCCCCAGCCCAACCCAACCCACTTTTCCTGAAGGTACAGCTTCAGAGAGAATCCCCCAAACCCTGTCCACCTGGGCCCATGTCACACACCCCTCATTCGGGAAAGGTCTTGGAGTCTCTCTACCTCCCGGACCGGTCTCCCCTGACCTGACACTCAGGGTAGCAGAATGGTCAAATATCATGGTGACTCTTAGCTCCGGAGGCCAGGTGGCAGGCAGTGGCAGGCACTGTGTTCTCCAAGAGCTCACTACCACTCTCATTAAAAACAACTTCTCCCACAACTGTCCCCAGACAGCACAGGCAGGTCCCAACATGTCCCTGCTCAGTGGCAGTCAGCTGGTGCTGCCACTAAGGGCCCCACCTCTCGGTGCTTGGTAAGGAAGGCCAAGCCTCCTTGGTCTAGTCCTTTGGCACCATGGGCTGTCATGTTTTGCTCCATTATCTCTTTCCGGCAGGCGGAACTCCCAAGAAAATAAGCTCGAACACCAGGAAGTGTGTGTGCTCGCTCTGCTGGAGACAGGTCATCTTGGACCATGAAAGGACCAACGGAGGCTTTTATGCTGGCCTCCGCAGTGACATTTTTAATAGAGCTGCTCCGCTACACTGGCGGTTCCTTTGCTAACATCTCAGGTACAGTCCTGAGCAGAATAGCTCCCGTCGAAGAATGTTAAGGGTACTCTGTGAAGTGGCGATCACCACGTCTGCTCCCTCTATGCCTGCAAAGAGGTCCAGAGCTGTCACCAGTGGGGGCGATGTGTGCTTGGGTGCACAGGGACACTTAGTCCTTGGCCTGGGTTGTCACTTCCAAGCCTGGCCAGGTGAGGACCAAGTTCCAGTCCCATCTGCCTTCAGAAGACAAAGGGAGGATGGTGTTTCCTTGGGCAAAAGGCCCACTGAGCGTCTGTACACAGCCTCCAACAGGCTAAGGAGATCTTTAGTTTACTAGGACCTATTTTAAAATCAAGACTCAGCATCTCTTCTATTTTTCTACATCTATTGAGAGGTCCAGAGGAAGTGCTCTTGGGAACAGTATTCTCTGAGCTCTTTGTACATCAAAGTCAGTTTTAAAGACAAAAATACTCGACCCATAAAATCTTCTTGTGGAAATACTAATCTACTTTATGATAAAGATTTGCTGTCTAAAAGCTGGATAATATAATTTTCCCCTCATATCTTAGATGCCTAAAAGAGTATTTTAGTTTAAGTTTCACTAACTTTACTAAAAAATTCCTTGGTGTTGGTCCCGTGATTGTGTCAGAAAGTACTGTACTTCAGTGTGCAATCTCCAATCTTTTTTCTTTCAGGAATATTCTCTGACCTGTTAATCAAAATGGCTCTTGAATTACCATTAGTTACAAATCCTCAGTTTTTCTTAATACGTCTGGTATCCTCTGTACGTGGTGGGATCAGAACTACAGGAACGCTGCTGCCTTAGGGTCACTCAATGAGGGGCAGGGACCCTGATATAAGAAATGATAGAAGAAAATTCTTCCCAGGGACTAGAAAAAACAGGAAACAAACTTTTCTGTAGTTTTTCAAGGTGTTTTTGAGATTTTTTAATAAAAAATAATTGAAATGCCTTTTGAATAGCAAATGTAAACTTCACTGAAATGTTCTATAATACTCTAAGGAGATCAGAGCTAAAATGTCTAAATAAAAACAATCAAAATGAACATGAGAATAAAATCTGTAATTTTGATTTCTAAGTCTGGTCTAAAACCTCAGCATCATTAAAAACGTGTATCTTACCCGCTTTTCATCCCTGCAGGTAGACGGGGGTGTGAAGGGACTGAAATTCTGGGTGTCCACTCGGCTTCACCCCTCTACTCTGAGCAGTGCAGCAGGACTGGACAAGGCCTCAGGGGAGTGCCTCTCCCATGTGTGCGCCTCTCTATTCTTCTTTGGCAGGTCGAGAGGATGTAAATACATATTCATGGTTACATTTACATGTCCATGCCATTAGGGAGGAAAGGGGTGAAATAATGCATGCAGCAGAAACCCAGATCATCAACACCTGCTTTAAGAACCTCTCCTCCAGTAGGACAGAACACACAGAAGAAATGCACAGATTCCTAGGAAGTATGAAATACTAAAGTTGAATCAAGAAGATATAAAAACTCATAAGAAGCACAACAGAAGTCGATGAAATTGAAAGTGTAATTAAACTCTCACCAGGACCCGATGGATTCACTGCTGAATTCTATATGAAACTTAAATTAGATTTAATGCCATTGTTGTCAAACTCTTTAATGAAACTGAAAGGGAAATGATACTCCCAAAGTCATTCCTGGAAGCCCGTGGTTACCCTTGCCCTGATATTTAAAAAAAAACAGAGAAGAACCCAATGAAAAAGAGAACTACGGTCAATCTCCCTGTTAAACACAGATGCAAAAATGCTCAACAAGATACAGAAATGGAACGCAGCAAAACACCAGGAAGGCTGTACACCAGACCAAACAGGAGTCATCCCAGGACAATTCAAAATACGCAAATCAATAAATATAATGTACCGTATTAACAGAACCAAAGACAAAAAGCATATCACCTCAATAGATGCAGAAAAAGCATTTAACAAAGTCCAACATCCATTCATTATAAAAACCCTACAGAAAATTAGCTGTTACCTCAATCTGATAAAAAAAAAATCTACAACCAACCAAAATCATACTAAACGGTTAAAACCTGAAAGCTGTCACTCTAACATCAAAAACAAGACAAGGATGTCACTATCAGCACTCTTACCCAGTACAGCTCTGGCAACGTTAGAGAAATTAAGCAAGAAGTAAAAGGAATACAGACAGAAAGGGAAGAGGTTACATTACCTATTCATAAGAGGTTAAATTCATCTTACATAGGGGACCCCAAAAGCTGCACTGAAAGACTTCTAGATTTAATAGCCAGATTCAGTAGCACAGCTGGAAACAAACTTAACACTCAGTACTCAAGAGAATTCCTGCACACAAACAACTAACTCACAGAGAGAAATTAGGGAAAGCATACTTTTCACAATAGCATAAAAAATAAAGTATTTAGGAATCGATCAAACGAAGGATATAAAATATCTCAACATTGAAAACTACAGTTCTCTGAAAAAAGAGATCAAAGAGGGCATCAAAAGATGGAAAGACATCCCTTGCTCTTGGGTAGCAAGAACCAACATAGTAAAAATGGCCATTTTCCTAAAATTGTTATACAAATTCAATGCAATCTCAATCAAAATGCCATTAACATACCTTCCAGAACTAGAGAAGAATTCATAAAATTTACATCGAACCATAAGAGACCTAGAATAGCAAATCCAATTCTGGGAAACAAAGGCAAAGCAGGGGGATCACAATCCCCAGTGTGAAATTATACTTCAGAGGTACTGTGGTAAAAAACAGTGTGGCACTAGAAAAAAAAAGTCGCCAGACCTGAGGATCAATGGCACAGATTAGAAGAGGCATAAATAACTTCAAACAGGCTCAGCCATCTTAACAAAGAGTCCAAACACATTTACTGGAAGAAAGTCTTTAATCAATGGTGCTGGAAAACCTGGCTTTCCACATGCCCAAAACTAAAACTAACCATGCACTAAACTACAATCAAAATGGATCAAAGGTCTAAATACTAAAACAAAAACACTAAATCTGCTGGAAAACACAACAGGTAGAACTCTTGAAGCAATAGGTGCAGGTAAAGACTTCAGAAACAAAACCCCAACTGCACAGGAAATACTATAACTAACAAATATGATCTCACCTTATTAAAAAGCTTTTTCACAACAAAAGAAATCACCAAGGGAGTGGAACAACAACCCACAAAGTGAGAAAACACCTTAGCCAGTTGTTCTTCAAAGGACCAGTATCTACAACATATAGAGAATTAAAAGCAATTAGGCCCCCAAATTTAAAGACCCACCCCCAAAATGGGTATCTGAAATAGAGGCTCTTCTCAGAAGAAGTACAAAGGGCAAATACATGAAAAATAAGTTTTAACATCATGGATTATTATTTGAGAAATGCAAATTAAAACTGAGGTTCTAGCTCGCTGTATTACCAACAAATCAACCAATAACAAATGCTGGCAGAGCTGTGAGGAAGGAGGCGCACCTCTCCACTGTCGATGGGAGTGCAGACTGGTGCAGCCACTGTGCACAGATTCCTCAGAAGCCTAGCACGAGAGGTGCCATTTGACCAGGTATTTCCTCTCTTGGATCTTCCCTGCACCCATATTACAGCAGTACAGTTTGTTACAGCTAAATCCTGAAAACAACCCAAATGCCCATCAACTGAGGGATGGATAAAAATGGTGTGGTTTTGTTATACGATGAAGTACTACTTAGCCATAAAGAAGGTAAACTTGTGACATCTATAGCTAAACGAATGGACCTTGAGACTCTAACTGAAGTACACTGGACACACAGGAGTAAATATCGCATTGTCTCTCTGGGGTGAGAAACACAGTGTAAGAACCAAAAAGTGTACTAGATATTGTGAAATAGGAAGCAACTGTTTAAAGGGAATGGGAATTGGGGAGGCATGGAAGGGAAAAAAGGATAAGATGGAAAAAAAGCTTTGTAAATAAAGAGGGGAAGGAGGGTTGAAGAGAGGGGAGGGGAATGGGGAGAAAGGGAACTAAGATACATCACATACAGGCTAAATTCCTTACAATGAAAGTGATCATTATGCATATCTAACTTGTACCACTAAAATTAGTGTAAAAAACCCATAATCAGCATTTCCATATTTATTTAATTTCATTGGAAAATTAAAAACTATCAAGCTACAAAATACAACTGCAATAAAGGAAGGACATGTTTAACATCAAGACCTGAAGAAGTTTTCTTTACAACATCCCAAGGGCCAGTAAACAAAAATAATTCAGACAATACAGTGAACAGTTTCATTTAAATAACAGCATGCATCTTCCTTAGGATATTACACATTATACTACTCTTAAAGTAACAATAAAAATCAAGTGACACAGCTGTTAAACTCGCAGTTCTCCTGCCTCCCCTAGAGTGCTGGCATTAGGGACTACTGCACCATCTCCAGGACACACCGTGCAAATAGCCAGAACCATCAATTTTATTTAATACACAATGTGTTTCTGGCATATAATTATTTTTAAAATGAGAATTATCAATTTTAATTCAGCCAATTCAACTATTTGTATAGTCAAAGGAATAAAATAAGCCCTTTAAAATTTAGATAAATTACTATTAGTAAGTTTTCTGTTCTTTTTTGCTACTGGGGATCAAACCCACGACCTTATGCTTGCCAGGTAGGTGCTTATGACACTGAGCTACACCCCCAGTTCCAGTAACTTCTCAATACATAAAATATTCTATTTTCTACCAAATCATACTGTACAAAGACACACAGGAAATGGCTTCAGAGCTCTAAATTAGATATGACTGGGTACAAAACTAATCGACCAAAATACCACCATAATTCTATGAAGTGAGTCCTTCAATAGGATGACTGTAATAAGGGCCAGAATCTTTTATCTTTTCAGAACTAGAATATGGAAATTTTCATGACAGAACTATGAACTTGGTTGTCATAGGTTCCAGCTCCAAATCCAACTGTGTTCAGCAACAGTGGAGCAGCAATGGAAGGAAGCATTTAAGGGAACCGGGAAGGGAGAGCTCTCCCAGATCCTAGCCTGCACCGCACATCTGGTGTAAGAGATACCACCAGTGACTCAGGATTACATAACAATGCTTGTATCAAAGTTTACTGGTTAGTTTAAAAGGAAGAGGCAAATAAAATGTAATACCTACTTTTAACAAAGCAGACTGAGTAATGTGTCAAGTGTTAGGGCGGGATAGGAAAGAAGTCAACCAGCCAAACATTTCCTCTTGGACTTTCCCCACGAGCATCTATTTTAGTTCTGGACTGTTCAGCTGGGCGTCGATGTGCTGCAGACGGGGGACTCTGCCCACCCAAGTGACGTTCCTTGTCTGGTTGCTCTAGGAAGGCAGATACTCCTTCACAGTTCCCAGGGTCCCCTGGCAACATGGCGAATGGAAGCAAATTGACATCACAAGTTAATTCATCCTAATTGGACTCTTTTAGACTGAGTTATTCAAATGCAAGCCAGGGTCACAGATGGCAGCTAAAGAACATGGATGAAGATCTGAACTGAGAATGCCTGCGAGGGAGCCAAGATACAGAGCTGCCATTTACTGTCCCAGTGCCGCTCAGAACAGGGCTCACTGCTGCACCCAGGGCTTCGCGTTCCTGGGTGAGAGGGCCGAGAGGATGGAGAAGCTGGAAATGAGACAGACAGCTGAGGCCGGTGGAGCCTCTCCCTGAACGGAGGAAAGGACCTGCCCAGCCACCACTGTGCATCTATTCACGCATGTAGAAAGCTGCTGTCGGGTGAAACCCTTCAGCTCACCTTCACCTCCGTATTCTGGGGCTGGAGCACTGCTGGCCTGAGGCACTCACTGGCCCCCTACCAGCCTGGCTTTGCTCCCACACGCGTGATCAGCCTCCCGCACCAGCTGTTCAGTACACCTCTCCCCTTTCTGTCTTGTAGTTGAAGTAATGGGTGGTCAGTTGAAGCTGGGGGAGCAGTGTTCAGAGGACTTTTACGGGGATGGAGGGGGGTATGGTCATAGTTTTCTGCTGCATATCCAAGACCAAGTTAAAGTGAGACCTGTATTAGTTAAAATTAACTTCTTGCTGTCTATGAAGTCAGTCAGGTCTGCTCAGGAAAGGCCTTGGAACCACGCACAGCAGCTCTCAGTTCTGTCAGCGTCAGCCATCTGGATGAGGCACAGCCACTGCCTGACCAGGTCGCTTTCTGTGAAAGCTTGGGAGATTTTTCTCTCCTGGTGACTCGCCTTAGGCACACTATATACTGTTGATCACTTCCCTCTCGGCCCTACAATCTCCTTGGTCAGAAGACCGTGGACTCGCCGAGCTATGGGAAGGTGCAGCAGAGGTGTGACCTTGACGGGCTAGAGCCAAAATACTGGCTCTTCTCTTTCTTTCTATCTTTCTTTCTCATTTTGGTCTCCAAAACTCAATTGTTGAATATCCAGAAGAAAAGACTGCTAACAGTACAGTGTAATAGTGTAATAAATGCAATAAGCTTAACATTACCATCATGTATAAATATCAAGCACCTTAGAACACAAAGCAAAACCACTATTCTCTTACAATCATAGATATTCTAAAATTTGAATCCTTAAAGATTGAGATAACAATCAGATATTCTAAAATTTGAATCCTTAAAGATTAAGATAACAATTAGACCGCACGTGAAATTGTAGCACAACAATCATGCTGACATTTTGTAACATCCTTAAGTTTTCATTTTAACATAATATAACTTTTTAATATCTCTAATCCATAAGAAGCTTTTGCCTAACTTGCTGACCTTTAGTGACATGTACATCTCACAAATTTTTGGTACAGACAGAGTTGAATATGAAGGAAAAGTCTATCACTATAACAATCCCTGTTTTGCATTTTGGAGGACCCGTACATCTGCAGGCCTGAGCACACTCAGTGCACCATGAGGTTAATGACAGGCATCACAGCCATATAAAAGCCTCTGCACCAGAGCATATTCAAATCAGAACCTCACTGCCCAGAAACGTACATAATGCTTTTGTTGATGATCAATGTAAACATATGACAGTAAGCCGGGCCTGGTGGCTCACGCCTGTAATCCCAGCACTCGGAAGGCTGAGGTGGGAGGGTCGTGCGAGTTCGACACCAGCCTGGGCTACACAGTGAGCTCAAGGCCAGCCTGAACTGCATAGCGAGACCCCTCAAAAAAGACAAAAAAAAAAAAAAAAAAAGACAGTAATATATGTAATTTTCACAATAATATATTTTTAATAACATTAATTGGGACGTCTCCCATAAGATTATGGAGAACAATGGGGCTTCCCATTAATGAAAAAAAAAAAGGCTAGGCTAACTTCCTTTATTCACCAAAGGAAGCATTGACCAAGGGCTCCAAGCCCAAAAGGTTCCCTTAGTTCCCTTAGCAAATTTCTGTTGACCTCTGAGCAAACCCAGTTTGATATTATCTTGGCCAGCTGGCCCCCCAGGTGGAAGCACACTTTTTAAATCTATAACCCAAATTATGAACAAATGACCCAAAAATGCAAAAGAAAAAGTAAACATTGTTGAGCTCAAATAAAAATCTGCTGTTGATGGATATTACAACAGAGCATCACAGATGAGTAACAAACACCTTACAAAAAAATCAGAAAGCACTCAAAAGTATTTTTGAATAAATTGGATTATAATAGCCTTTTACAATTTTAGAAGCTTCAAACTATACACAGAGTAGTCAGATTTTGCTGTAGGTTAATAGAGATCTCTTAAGAATTTGGAAGGAACAAAATGTTTTATCTATAGTTTTGTATTTTATTTTGCATTAAGAATACTAGTAACTTTCATGTCCCCCTCTTTCATGTAACTTTTTGTTCAGTTACCTTTATATACCCTTATCACCTATTTAGACCTTCAATTCCCACTTTTGGTTACCAGCTCCTGGGAATCCTGGGTCAATTTCTTTAACTGGCCTCAGGTTGGGTCTACCCCATCCCTGTTTATCGGTTGTGGTGTGGTCTCTGAGCCATCACTACCATAAGACTGAGCATCAGCTGCCTGAAAGGCAGGATCAACTCCTGGGCTCAGGACACAGCTGGACAGCATGCTCTGACACCCAGATGGGTTGGTCAGCATTCTCTGGAAAGACACAAGCACAGCCTCTACCCCAGAAAAGCAGCAGGTTGGGTCCTTCCCACTGTCCAGTAGGGGGATTTCCCAAAGGACCCTTCGTAGCTTTTCTTTACTTTTTCAGGAATTTATGAAAGATTTATAACAGCACAAAAGCCATACTATATATGACTAATAAAGTATGTGCAGTGTTAGTGTATTCAAAACTAAAAAAATTGATATAAGAAAATAAAAGATCTAGATAAGTGTAGAGTTATATTGATCATAAGTTTGAAGTAAATAACAATTTTGAAAAGCAACAGAATTTACATTACCATATATCAAGACTCACTGCAAAGTCAGTGAGACAGTGATAGGCTGGAGCCAGCCTATAATCAGCCCAGGAAAGTCAAACGTTGAATTTTCCAAAGTTTTACGGGTTGGTTGTTGTTGAAATTGCTCACTGTGAGAGAATTTTTAAATAAAAATCAGCAAACTACAAATCAGGCCCACACCTCCCCACGAGGGCCCGCCACACTGAGTGGGCTGTACCATTTGGAGAAGCTCCCTGAGCCACAGCCCCCCTCTGTGAGCAGGGCCTGGCAGGTCCATATGGGGAGCCTCCTAGAATGGGTCAGGCTTCCGTGGCAGGTCTGGATTCACATTCATTTTCCCAGTGATACCCGCAGCAGCACTTGCTATAGGTACTAACAGGTTTTGCTGAAGTGACAGATGATGACTGTGCTACCTGTACAGGTGCAGCAGAGCAGTCTCGGGCAAAATGTCCTTCACATCTGCAGCTGAAACACATAACCCTGTTTCTTCCCTTTCCTCCAGGTTGTGGACAAATACCCTGAGTGGCAGCTGTCGCCAAGGCAGCCCTCTGTACAGAGAAAGGGCCAGTATTCTGAATAGACTCAGACAATGTAGCCCATTGTTTGGGCTTGTAAAGCCTCTTTACCCCATTTGTTTGCATTTTCAAAGGCCAACTGTTGAGCAATTAACTTAAAGGAGGACCATATTTTATGAAGGGTGGAAAACTCAGCCTGTAACGTAGCAAAATATCGCTGAACTGGGAAGGTGGGAATTGTCATTTGCGATTCAATTAAAGTTATCAGGGTGGCTGTTCTGCTGTCTGTCCACTGGGGGCTTGGTTTTAAAATAGCGCCCCATGCCAAATCCTCTGCGGTCATGCCAACAAACTTAGAGCCATTAAGACCCCCCTAACCCAAACCCAAAGAAAGAAAGAAAACAGAGGAATCAAGAATATAAAAAAGATTCATATACATTTGTTCTTCTTGAGTCTCTGTTTGCCTCTTGCTGGACCACGGGTAAGACCAGTGCACCCCTTTCCCTGTAGGGTCTCACAGCTTGCTTCTTTCTTCTGGCCCTAGTGAACCCGTTTTTTTCTTTGCCCCAAGTTTAGCCCCTGACGATGTCAGCATCAGGACACTCCTACCCACGCACCTCTCTCCTCTTTTCCTGCACCATGAGATCTGTCCCCTCACCCCAGTCCCTGTTTGCTGCGGTCAGCACTGCCCTCGGGGACGAGCGGCGAGAGGACGAAGAAGAGACAAATTATACAGAAACCTGTGGTCAAGTGGAGCCCGCGGTGGGAGGAAAGGACCTGCTCAACCACTCACTGCCTTTATTTATACAGTTAGAACGCTGAGGTCAGGTGAAACCCCTTCACCTAACAACCGACTGCCTCTCACCCTCAAATTCTCGGAGCTGGAGCAGCGGTTTGCCTGGGGCGCTCACCGTTCCCTGACTGGGCTTGCTTTGCCCCCAAATGTGTGATCAATCTCCAGATTCTGCCACTCCCTTCAGCTAAAGGCCTGGAAATCCTCAGCTTCCTTTGACCACCTTCCCAAATAAAACCTTAACAGGCCTAGTGTAAGTCTTTTAGTGCCTCTGTAATCCCTTTAACCCAACAGCCAAGCTGCAGGGCTGTTTTCTGTAACCTTCACTCCGCTGGAAAACATGGGAGTGTATTACGTTACCGCCCAGAAAGATCAAGAGTTGGCACTATTCACCCCACACTGAACAATGCTGCGTGAGGGGAGATTTTAGGAAAGGAATTAATCAGTGCACCAAGCAATGCACCAATGCACACTGTATACAGCCCCAAGGCCCTGGGTGCTTCTCAGACTCCCAGCCACTTGATAATTACAATGGGAGACGACAGAAGTCTTCTCTACTCCAAAGCCAGAAATTCCCAAGGTCTTTGGGAATAATCTCACAGATAAAATAATAGACTGTTCCTGCAAGCGTACACATGAAAAACAACACACTGCTAAGTAACTGAAAACCAATATCCACTTTCAGAGAACACATCTGTAGTTTTCAGTCACATAGGAAAGTTTCCAAAAAGAACAAATATTTGACTTTAAACATTTATGTAGGAAATGATTTATGTGGATATAGTTTTAAAATATCGGAGGATAAATGATCACAGTATGGTTAACTGAAGGTTTAAGTTAACTGAGAAGTATCTATCAATCTCAAATTTCCTTACATCCTAGCTGGATAATCTAAATAAAAATTCTTTTCATAAATCTTAACATTTCATGTATGTGTGCGAAGTGCATCTATATGTTTACATGTGTATATGTGTTGTAGCTTGGCATAACTGACACCATCTTGTGCCCTGCATTTGACCCAGAAGAGAAATTACTCAGGGAACAAGTCCCATGAGAAAAGCAGAACGAGCTGCACCCACAAGAGAAAAATTAACCTGCTCAACAAAGCAGCAGGATACAGGTGTCAGCCAAAATTAATGTAGGTTCCCAGCTAAATTGTTTCCAACAGGATGTTTTTTTGTGGTTTTCTGTTTTAAATGCTCTGTAACTTTCCAGTTCAGGGCTACTCAATGGGACTCTGAAACAGGGGTCTCTATGCAAGTGGTCCCGAGCTCAGCTAATAAAATTCCAAATTCATCAGCTTGGCTGCTTGGATTCCTATATTGTTCATGAACCCACTTCATATGGATATATGAATATGTATATTTATATTTCTGTACGTACATATATATACTTACATATGTATACGAACATATGTTTACATATGTATATGGATATATGAATATGGATGTTTAGTGGTTATTATAGTCTCTTGATCAACTTTCCCAGTGATTAATAGGCAGTACCTTTTTATAACACGCCAACAACGTTGACTTTAGTGGCAAATGAGTATCAAAAGCCGCTGCCTAGAAATTTATCTTTAGAATTTGGTTTTGTTACTTTGATGCACAGTTTTATCCAGCAGGCCTGTAACCTTAGAGTCAGAGCTGCCCCATCCCAATCTGAGTGATCCAAAGGAACTGATCTCCTTGCTCTGAACTGGAAGGATTCGTGGATAAATAATACCAGGGCGACATTACCTCAACACAGTAAGGCTCCAGGGAGACCACGTAAGTAACCGAGCTTTAAGGTAAAGTTTTCCGTTTCGCACCGCTAGTCTAGTCCAGTCTCCTCAGCAGAATTCACGTGGGAGGGCTTTCCTTTGTCTGAATCATGCCGTAACAGGCTGTCTCATTTGTGTCACTATAGTTAAAATGTTACAAGATGACGGTAATTTGTATTATCCTTGCAGGGGAAAGGCATAAAACAGGTTGCTAAAATATTCTGTATCTCTATCCAGTAACACAGATGCCAAGATGTGACCAGAAAGACCTCGCGTCCAGTCACAAGAAAATGTGCTTGCTAAAACCCTAGTCAAATGGGTAAGGTTTGTTCCAAAAAGTTTTCAAGACGGTGCAAGCATCAATCATTTACAATAAGAAATGCTCTCCAATGAAAAACAACAATGCCCTCCAAAAGCAGCAGCAGTGAATGTGCGCCGGTGTGCGCCTTCCTCTGCACTACCCAGCAGGTAGCCAGCCGAAAGTGGCCGTGCAACCCTCGGAGAGCACGAGCCGCCTCTGGCCGCAGGAGCAGCAGAGCGGCTTTTCACACACACAGCGCATCCACTTGACCGGAGACGGAGCCGCGGTTGGCTGGCAGCAGATTCCACACCTGTGAGCAGAGAGCAGTCCACAGTGAGAAGAGGCAGAGGCGGTCAGTATCGAGAAACTGCTGGGCCAGTCTGACACTGCAGGCCCCGAGGAGCGTGACCACTGTGTGGGAGGATGTGGGCCAGCTCCGGCACTGCAAAGCCCTGCGGATATCATGTGGTACCCCCTGCCAACCATTACCCAAAAGTATCTGGAATTTTTAAAAAGTAGGCATCCTTTTACTTTATTCATTTTTTTGGTACGGGGGATCGAATCTTACAAGGCAGGCGCTTATGGCGCTCAGCTAAATCTCCCCCTTTTCTTATCCTTTTACTTTTAAAATATAACATTACACTTAAGGCCTTTACAACTTCAGTTTGTAATAACAGAGGCCTGTGTTTCCTTTACCTACTCCCTGCACTGACAGAGGCCTGCATCATCACAGTGTGAAGCCTGGGAACCCTCCCCGGACAGCACACCGACCTTGCTCGGCATCACCAGTCTTCCCGGTGGTCCGGAGCACGCCTGAGGCTCTGCTCCCTGGAAGCTACAGTCACGGCAGCTACACTCATGCAGCTACAGTCACGGCCAGAGAAAGCCGTTCTGCTGCAAGTGGCCCTGTTCTCTCCCAAGACACACACCCTCACACCCCAGTGCCGAGCCCAGCAGCCAGCAAGTGAGCTGCTCTTTGTCTCCACAGCTCTCTGATTTCAGAAAGTTCTACGAGCAGAATCATTCGGTGCTCAACCTTTTGATATGAAATCTTCACTCAGCACAACTGCCATGGGAGCCACCACGTTCCCCTATACCCATGATCCATTCCTTTTTATTGCTAAGTAATACTTTATAGTACTAATGTGTCCATTTGGGTAGCAACTAGCTTGCTGAAGAACATCGAAGTTGTTCCTCATTTTCTATCTATTATGATATACAATCTGCTAGGAACATTTTTGTATAAAAATAAATTTTCCTATCTGGGATAAACGCCCAAGGGTTCCACTGCAGGGCTGTATTTAAGTACAGTTTTTGTTTCTTTAAAAACAACTGATACATCTGATGTTCCACAAGTATGGGTAATGTATGAGTAACCTAGTTCCCTAAATCTTCACCAGCACTTGCTGGTGTCACCATTCTTGCCTTGGCCTTAGTGCCAGATGTGAACAGCTTATCATGGCTTTACTGTGCGCTTCCTCAGACGCGCCTCTTCATGTGTGGGGCACCTGCATACTCACTTTGGTGAAAAGTCTGCTCATTTCTTTTGCTTATTTCTAACTGGTTTGTTTCTTTGTTGTTACTGATCTTTGAAGGTTCTTTATATATTATAGATTTGTGACTTTTCTTGGATATGTGGCTTGCAAATAGCTTCTCTGTATGTGTAACTTGTATTTTTGTCTTTTTTTATAGAAGGTGTTTCACAGAACAAACTGCTCCATTAAAATAAATGGAAAACACACCATCTGGAAAAGAAGAGGGACATCTAATTCCAAGGAATTCAAAAGAAGGAAAAAAGTAAAATCTCTCAAAACTAATAGGTAAGTAGAGTTCAGTAAATTCAGAGGATACAAGATCAATGCACAAAAATCAACAGCATTCACTGCAATGGACATGCGGAAAATACATAAACACACAATGCCATTTACAAATACTCCAAAGAAAATGAAATAGGATAAATCTAACAAATTACACACAAGATCTATATGATGAAAGTGACAAGGTATTAAAGAAAGAAACAAAGAAGACCTAAATAAACAGAGACACATATCAAGTGCTATGGTTCATATCTAAAATACCCCAACCCTTATGAGTTCGGAAGGTGCAGGCTCAGCAGTGGTTTCACAGATTGCTAAGCCTGGAATTAAATGTGTAGTCAGGAGGCAGATCACTGAGGATGTGCCCCATCGAGGGGTGGCACCCTCCCTGGCTCCTCCCTGCTCGGCCTCTGGCTGCCACAGGGTGGGCATCTGTCCTCTGCATGACCCTTCCACCTTCCCCTTCCCTCCCTGGAGCCAGCCATGCACTGAATCCTCTGTAAAAACCGTGAGTCCAATTAAACTTCTCTGTAGGTTGTAGGTGTTGGGAATTTTGTCTCAGCAATGAGAAAGTTGCTAAGACACCAAGGTCTTGGACTGAATGTGAAAATGTCAGGTTTCCCAAACTGATGTCTAGAATTGAAGCAATTTCCACCAAAATCTAGTGAGTTTTTTGTTCAGAGATAGCCAAGCTAATTCTAAATTTTACACAGGAAGACATAGATCCTAGAATGGCTCAAACAATTTTGAAAAACTAGAAGAAATCACTCTATCTGATGTTCAAAATTACTACATAACCACAATAAACCAAAAGGTGGTATGGCAGGATATATAGATTAATAGAACAGAATATGAAACCAGAAATAGGTTTACACAAAATTATGCCCAATGGATTTTGACAAAGATGTAATAGCAATTCAATAGAAGAAGAGTATAGTTTTCTCAAGAAACAGTACTGCAAGAGTTGGATCATTTACAGGTCAGTAAACAAAGTAACATGACATAAACCTCACATTTTATCCAAAAACCAGCTTAAAATGCATCATAATACATCTAAAATATGAAACTACAGAACTTTTAGAAAATAATAAGAATTTTAAGAATAATTCTTAAAGGATTTGGAAAAAAGAGCAATTCTTTAGGATCTAGGCTAAGTGAGGAGTTTTTAGATGACATCAAGAATATGTCAAGAAAAATTGATACATGAATCTCATTAAAATTACACACTTGTGCTTTTTTAGAAGCTTTAAAAATTAGAACTCATTTTAGGTAAATTATGGAAATAAATCTCTATTATTAAACTTTAAAATCAATTTACTGATAATAAAACAAGTTTCACTGGAATACTTGGTTATGAAAATACAGCTTTCTGAACGCGGCTGGCTGTTGAAACACTAATTTGGAAAATTATGATCCTCAGAGACTAAGTTTTATAGTCAATATTGATTGTGAAGTGCTAACACCACATTTGTGTTATTTTCTAGGATATATTAGCTAACAAGGTAAAGGGTCAATTAATTTATGTGTGATTTATAATTTTAAAAGAAGCTAAAGACAGAAGAATTATTTTATAGAATATTAAATTGAAAGCCAAAAGAAACTGATGCTTGAGATTTCACCCATAACATGAATCCCCTTCAGATTCCTTGGGAAACAGAGCTTTCAATTCCTGAGACTAAAAAACCATGCAAATTGTCAAAACAATGGTGAAAACGGTTCTCATAATGTGTTCTGGAAATTTTGGCTAATAGATGGCAAAAAATAGTTATTTCTAATGATAGTACAGCTTGATAAATGTTGGGTCTAACTATAGAATGGTACAACTTATAAACAGAAGCAGTAAAGCATCACTGCAATTAATGAATTTATACATACTACTAACAACAGCTCTTTCAGAATAGGAGAGAGATGAAAATGGCGTGATAAGGATTTTTCTTTTTCTTCAGCTTGATTACCAACACACTGCTTCATCTCAGGTCTTGCTAGTGGCCGGGGCTGAGGTCAGGAGACGAAGCCCTGAGGAAGGAGCGGTGCTGAGACCCTGCCCTTGCAGGGCGGCATGAGTCGCCACTGGGCTGCGCTGTCCCACAGCAGTTCACCACTGGATCCGTCTCCAGCCTGCCCTGGCCTCCTTTCCTCTTCCTAGGCTGCAGCGTGAAACAGCACTGACCTCTCACCAAGCGTGCTGCCTGATCGTGGACTTCCCTGCCTCCAGAACCATGAGACAAAATGAACCTTTATGCAATAAGCCTTTCTTTTACAAAAAAATTCTGCTGCCCTAACAGGAAATGGACTAAAAGCCCTGGCCAATGATTGCCCTATGGACAGCACAGAAAACCCCTGAATGGCTTTGTACGTTTCCATGCTTACTCTCGGTTTCTTACCGTTACTTGCTGCAGTAACAGGTATGTGCTGGTTAGTACGGTTTCAGAGGAAGTAGAGAACGCATCAGAAGGAACACGTAAGACAGAGGTCATCAGGGCAGAGCTGAGAGGTCTGACCTCAGCCTCAGGAAAGTCAGGCTCCCCGCTTGGTGTGACCTCAGGGTGAGTGCTGGGGTCACAGCATCCCTTTCTCTGCCAGCAGGAAGCCTTCCACCGAGAGGCGGACTGTGAGGGCAGAGGCTTGACGCTTGCTCTGACAGCAGCATTACTCTGCTGGATGTCCCACCAGAGCAAATGACTCAAATACGCCCTCACTGCTGAGGACGGATCTCCATGATGCAGTTCAGGAAGTCCACCTTTTGGGTCACAGCCCTAAAGCCACATTCCACAGTAAAGAAAACAGTATAGTCACCATCTACGTTTACTTCTTAGTAAATCTTAGGAGAAGAGTGAAGAATTGCTAAGGCTTGACACAGCCATTTTATTTTACACACAAGAAAAGTGGGTTTGGTGCAGGATGAGCAACGTATGCAGTCGCTCAGCTGCAAAGCATGTGATAAACTGGGTCAGACCCAGGACACGCTATTCCTGCTGAAGTCTCCCCGCTTTTTCATGGGCTCACAAGACATGCTTATTATTTCTGGTCATTGAACCAGACCTGTGTCGCTGACATTCTCCAGTGAGACGCTAGAAAGCACGTGCTGAGACGGAGAAATAGAAGTGAAAAGGCCTCCCACCTCCTGCTGGTGCTGTGGTGCAGACACTCTCCGAAGCCACTCACGTCCCTCCCACTCGCATCCTCACAAGCACCCAGGAAACCGTGGCAGCTGAATTAAGAAGCAGGGATCCCAACACGCTCTTCCTAGTCACTTGGCCTCCTCTAAAAGCAGCACAGTTACAGCCAGCACTGGAGCCCCTGCTTGACTGCATACTCACTGAACGGTTCTTTCCAGTGGCACAGAACACAACAGCCCAGCCGGCCTACAGCAGCACTGCAGTGCACAGCCACGGGCCATCCATGTGAGGTGGCTCCTCCTCGCAGCCTGCACAGACTGTGGAAGGAGTCTGTTGAAGCAGGTCTGCCCACTTAGTGAACTGCAAGTGTTTCACAGTGTGACGGTTCCTGTCTGCTGCAGGGTGGGTTACGGAATTCTTAGATTAGCTCATTTCCATTTCCAATAGACTAGTAACAATGAGTGACCACCCAGTACATACGCTGGTGTTAGGCAGTGCTTTCAGAGAGTACTCAAACCTCATCTTGATGCTTCTAAGAATTCTAGGAATTGCCAGGAGTAGAGCACTTTTCTATTTTATAAAGGCAAACAATAACACTGGAAGACAGAATGCTAACGGTGACACAAACTGAGTGCCTACTATGTGCTAGGCACTGTGCTGGGATCCCACGTGAACTCTCTCACTGGATCCCACATCAGTCCTGTGAGCTGTGCTAATTTATGCTGCTCTGGAGATTAGGACTGAAGTCTGGGAGACACAGGCCAGGTCAGCGGTCTCACTTGTTTAGAACGCGAAGGTTTCTTCTGCAGGCCTTCTGAATCCTAACCTACCGTGTTAATCTGCACCATGAGGCTGCGAGATTTCAAAACAGTTAAGAGGCAGAGTAGGCTGACACTTTAGGAATACGACCTGAGCCCAGCAATCGCTCTTAGATTATACATTATAAACCCAGTTTGGTGAGAACAGGCAGGCCCCTGACCGGGAGACGCTGTGGTCTTCCAGTGAAACGGACAGGAAGGCTGAGAAGCAGAGTGGCTGTGCCCCGCTGTGGAAGAAGAGTCATGGAACATGCCTCAGGATGGACAGGTAAAGCACCTGGCCTCTCCTCACATCCTGTCCCAAAGGATCACCACCCCCCCAAGCAGGTGGGTTTGGACTCGAGTTGCGTCTGCTGGGGTCTCGGCCCAGGGCACCGTCCCCCTGCAGACAGGTCACTCTCCACACTCCCGGGAGCCGGCCCTTACACCCTGCACTCTCTCTTCCTCCCGTCGTCCTCCTGGCTTCACATGCACGTGCACACGTGCTGCTGGCTATTCCTCTACATAACCCGTACAGAAACCCCCACTGATGTGTCTAATATACTTTTCCACCTGAAGTCAAAAAGCTAGAAAACTTCCAAGTCACTCTGCCTCCTGACGTTTCTATATGACATCGCACCTGACAGCGGCAGAGATGACCCAAGATGTGTGAACAGCAGTGGAGAGGAGGTGGCACAGTAAACACATGTTGTAATATCAAGTAGGAAACTCAAACTTGATTCGCTGGAGCGTGAAGCTGAATGACAGACACAACGCTTGAACCTTCTGCGGAGGAGCACTGCGGTCACCACATCACACACACCCGCATTTTAAACGTATCCACTCCCACGGACCTCCCGACCTCCTGACCCAGCGCGTGAGGGCTGCGCCCTTGCTGCAGACCTGACTGTGAGCCCTTGTGGACCTCGGCTGGAGACCACAACCGAGACACCTTCCCCAAGCTGCACGGGTGGGCCCGAGGCCTTGAATCCTGCCGACAGGCCCTTCTGAGCTCCCTTCTGCACTGCACGGTGAGTGCTCCCAGAGCACCAGCTGTGCTCACTGTCTCTGCCCAGGAGAGCGGGAGCGGCGTTCAGGACACTGTGCTGCTCACCTCTTCTGCAATTCATTACTGCTTTTTCACATAACAATGAGACTCTTCATAACCTTGGCTTATGCTTCTCACTGCAATCAGTCTATGGCCGATCGCCCACATTTACTGAGGGCCCCCCTTTTCCCCTCTGCAAAGTCTAGCATCATCAGAGCAAATTCATCTCTTGGCAGCCCCAAAGACACTCTGAGCTTTTTCTTTTGCAGGGGAGACCACACCTTTCTCCTGCTTCTCAAAATGGTGACTACTCTTGGATTTACATCATCTGTAATGTCTACTGTCAAAAATTTCCCATTTCTCAGCATCAGTTTCTAACTAGAAGCTCCTTTGCTACCACCTCATGGTGCCTTACTCGGTTCAAAAGGACTAAGTACAGTACCCTGGGATCCTCTATTTATTCCTCACCAATTGGTCTTCTCATCTTAATCACAATTAGACATCACAGCTGATGACTTGCTTTGATCTCTTGAACTTTGCCTCGTGTTAGACAGCGTCTCATCATTCAGGCCCATAATCTGTGCTCAGAAATCCCACAGTTATGCAACTGGGAAGCAAACAATCGCATACTGCATGTTTTGCTGCCATTGCAAATTCATGGGTTCACCCTTAGCAGTGCTTAGCGACCCTTTTCCTGGTCACCGTCTGTGTCAATCAGTCTCTGTGGTGTGGACCCCAAGCCTCACTGGCTTTCTTCAAGTTTCCTGTTCCCGTCTATCCCTTTTCACTCCTGCTGAACATTATCTACCAACCTGCTAATCTAATCCACTGAAGCAATGTAACTCACCACCTCTTCAGACAATTCCATGACTACGCTCCACATCTATTAAAGCAAGGAATCCAGGAATTATTCTAAAGCTCTGCTTCCCAGGAGAACGTTCTACAGTAATGCAAATGCCCTCTAGATGCACTGTCTGATATGGCAGCCACTAGTAGCATACGATTAAAGAGCCCTGGAAATGTGGTTGATACAAGTGAGAGACTGAATTTGCCATTTAACAAGAGTTAAATAACTACTTAAACATCACTTGTCGTACCATATTGAACAGGATAACTCCTAGCCCATCCTTAAATCACGGTCATATGTCACATTTAAGTCTACTAATTTAATCCGCAAAGCACCTGTGGCTCTGTGCTGTCGGCCTCAGCGCCAGCCGCCCTGCTGGTCAGGCCCTCACTCACTAAAATTCTCCCATGACTCCAAACATTTTATTATGAAGTTCTTACTTCTTTGCTGAAGGAAGTTCTTACTTCTTTTCATGTTCTCACTGGTTCCTTCCAGACTGCTATAGCCTTGTTTTCTCTCATTACTCCCTGAGAAGTAACTCTTCATTCTTGAAATAAATTCATATAGATACAGACATCCTACGCAGCCATACACCAGAGCATGTTTCCCTTCTGTCTTCCTCATCTGAGTAATTCTCAGTGCAGACATCACCTCCTCACTGAAGCAGTAGGACAATACCATCTTACTTGTAGGGTTTTACTCCCTCTCAAAACCTAGCAGACAAAACACCGGTTACCTTTTTAGACACTTGTGAAATAGCCCACACAGGCATATGAAGAGAAATGACTGTTGTCCACAAGAGCAAAGACTGAAGTAATCTAAATGTCCAACATATGGAACTATTTAAATAATATACTCACCTGTATAAGTACGATACTACTAAAATGCTTGGAAATCATTATCGGTTTATTTTATTTTATTTTAATTTAAGACAGGATCTTGCTATGTGGTTAAGGCTGCCTTTGAACTCACTCTGTAGCCTAAGCTGGCCTTGAATTCATGGCAATCCTCCTGCCTTGGCTTCCAAGTGCTAGGATTACAGGTGTGAATCACCATGCCCTGCCTGGAAATTATATAATTATGAAAAACAATTTTAAAGGATAGAATCCAATGGTTTTTCTGGAAGTTTATATTACAAACTAATACGAGAAAGGGACTCTAGATGTATGTGTGTGTGTGTGTGTGTGTGTGTGTGTGAGAAACTTTCTATACATTTTATGCTATCTAAAGTTTTTTATCATGCAAACCTATTACCTTAAAAAATACATAGTACTTAAAACAAAAGCAATGTCCTTAATCAAAGTGAATAAGAATAAAAGCAAATAAAACCTCAGGTTATGACAGAGGAAAATAAATCATCTATAGACTGTTAAGACCAACATACTTACCCCAATCTCCTGGCTGAAATCATGTGCTCCTTTTTTCTCAAGAATTTTCAAATAATCCTTGAAGGCTGACTGCTTATCAAAATTGAATGCCCCTGGTCGGCTGAGCCAGTCTTCATCAGAAACAACTTTCTGCATATCTAAGGAAAAGAAAAATGCACCTCTATATGCTCCTTGTATGAATGTGAGAGGAGACTTTATATCTATTGTGGGTATTTTTCTCATTAAAAGCACAGTTATTTAGTTATTTAAGGGTCAATCGATGTTTATCTTTCTAAAGGTAAACTGTGTCACTCTGAAAGAGACTACCTTTTTTTAAAAAAAAATGTACTGTAGTACCTTAGAATTTTACAAATTCATTGAAATCTATCCACTATGAAAACATGAGATGCAGCGGACTGAGAACTGTTCTGCTTTGTAATGAGAATGGGTACATTGAGGGACATTTATGCTATGGCAAGACAGCACAAGTCTTTGGATTAGGAGAAAGAACATTTTGCCCTCCCTGGGGTCAAGTGTTTGGAGGAAGCTCCTGCAGAGTGTAAGACAAGAGGATGCAGAGTCCAGCATGAGTCTTACTCCACTGAACACGTGATATACACAACCGCAGAGACAGAGGATCTAGGTGGGGCAGTTAACAACAAGTAACAGACATGCATCCACAGCCAGCCGTAAGAGACACGCAATGCGGTCTACAAATCAGCACATGGACATTTTCTTTTTATGGTAATTTTTTTGAGAGTGACAGGAGGACTTTTTTTTACTTTAAACTATTATCTATTGGTCAATTACATAGGCACACACAAGCACAATTTTTAAAAAGCTATGAAAAGATAAAGGGGAAATTTCAGAAAGCAAACAGTTTCCATACAAGAAAAGCCACAACCTAAAGTCTTAAAGGAAATCGAAGCCTCACTTCAAATATGCTGTTGTCTGGTGAGAAACGAATACCGCATTTGCTCTTAATCTATTTTTTTTTAATTTTATTCTAAATTACATTTACTGATACAATGCATCATAGGGAATTTGTACCTAAATGATACATTTTAATTCCTCTTTTTTCCCAATTCCTTCGTCTTCCTGCAATCCCTCTTTCCTATCTAAAAAACTTTGTTTCCATTTTATCCTTTTAAAAATCATTTTATACAATGGACTACCGCCATAAAGGAGAAACTTGAGACATTTCTAGGTAAATGGATGCACCTTGAGATCACATTCTTAAGTGAAATAAATCAGACACATGTGTAAACATCACAGTCTCCCTGGTGTGAGGAAACAGAAAGAGCAAACAAGGGCCAAAATGTACAACAGATACTGTGAAATGGGAAGAAACTGTTCAAGCAAAAGAGGAACTAGGGAAGGGAAAGGGGGGAGAAAGGAAGGAAAAAGGAAAAAAAGTCAAAAAAGAATAACATGATGGTTTTTAAAATCATGCTAAAGTTCCAAATATCTGAAACCTTACCTGTTACATTTACTGTTTCAATGAGGTAAATCTGGAGGCCAACCGTAAGAGAATGTTTTAAAACTACCAGAGTTTTGAGGAAAAATACTCAAGAAAAACCAGTTCTCCAAATCTCTTTCCAAAACAAAGTAATAATATTTAAACCAACAAAGAAGTATACAAGAAGAAATCAAAACGAACAGCAGCTTCTCGGACCCCGCACCTCCCTGAGCGGCTCACCTAGTCTTGAGCCGCTCTCCATCAAAGCCCTCTGGGAGGTGTGGTGAGGGGCTGCTGGCACAGGCGGGCACGGAAGGCCAAATCCCTCGTGAACAACTCTAATCCAGGGATGGCGGAGCCTTCAGAGCTTTCAACACTACAAGGAGCCTGCTGTGGCACGCGTGCCAGAGGTTCGCCACCACGGCTCTAACCTTGGTGTGAGGAAGTCTAAACAGACTCGAAGGGGAGGCGAAATTTCCACAGGAGTGGACGCCATTTCGGTTATCTCTGAGCCTCAACCTAAAAGGAAAAGAGAAAAAAAAACCTTAGATCCCCCCTCGCTCTCTGTGTTGGGGAAAATCACAGAGGGCGGGGAGGGGCAAGGGGGGAGGACTGTACTGGATGCTGCTGTAGACCCCAGCACTAATTATACTGTGATGATTAGTACCTCCTGTGATTACTCCACAATAATTTGTTTGCCAAAAACATTCATAAATAGGACACAATGATTTCATCAAAGGAAAGGAAGGAGGTTATTCAGGGCCTATGAGAGAAAAAAGAAACAGAAGAGGCATGAGGCCCTGATTATCATAAAAGGATTATGATTAACTAAAATATACGAAAACCATAAAGGACCTATGATGGTGATGACATCACTGGGGAGCTGATCACACTGAACCAAGGGCTTCCAAACTCTACATTTGCATTGCGGGGAAAATACACTTCATTTCAGCCCCAGCATTTTTAACTGAGTTTCTTCCTCATACAGCCTGGTACAAGGATTCCAAACAACGTACGCAGGTCAGGCTTTGACTGCCCACGACGGTGGTCAGCCCGGGCAGTTGCCAGAAAGGGATGTGAGCTCACTGCTTGGTGCTGGCATCCTTGCTGAACAACAGACGCTTTTCCCCACATTTCAAGAACACCACGGTCTTTCCTGAGAAAAGTGCTACCTTTCCACAACGGCCCTGAGGAAAGGACATGATCACTTTAACCACTGGCTCCTTGTCGCATCCAGCATGACTCCTGAAGTTGCTGGGGAGGAGAGTGAGAGGACAGAGGAATAAAGGTAAGAGACAACACACAGAACGCTGAGGTCAGGTGTGGCCTTCTCTCCGGCTAGAGGAAAAGGAATTGCTCGCCACTGCAGCGAGTACACATTCCTACAGGCCAGTGTCACGTGAGCCCTTTACCTGGCAACCCTGGACGGAGCAGCTCGGGTTTCCAACAGGCCTTGCCTCACCCCTGCTGCGCATGTGATCCATTTCCAGCTCTGGCCACTCCCCACAGCTCCTGGATGACGCCACCTTACCAATCTGAAAGTCACCACCGCTACTGCTAGTTCTAGTAACATATCACAGGTGTAACAAAGACCAGGAAAGCCATGCAAGTGTGCTTCCTTACACATGTGTCTTCGTTAAGTGAACTGATTGGCCAGGCCTACTCCAGCTATCAGCAAGTTGGGGAACGTTATTTTCAGCCTTCTTGCCTAGGTCCCTCAGGAAGGTACTCTGGGAGAAGGGCATGGTCCCCATGCAGTAGGAGCACCTGGAGTATCAGCAACAGCCTTTCATCCAGCCTTGACATTTCTGTTCACTCCTCCTATCCCCCAGTACACGGGGCACTGTGCTCAGGGGAAGAGCAGCTGTAACATAAATGGGAGCTTGGAATGAAATTCAAATAAAGAGAATCAGGGAAACTTTATTCATGCTCAATCAACAAAGCCAGAGAGACAAACAGAACTCTACATTTTCATAAACAAGAAAAACAAATCAAGATGTGGAAAATAATGTAGTAATACAATATAGTGTGTAAAAACATTGAGAGCCTGCTCTCAAATGGAAGGTAACTTGAGAAAATATATTGTGCACGCAACTATTATGAATGATCTAATAAGAAAGTGAACTAAATAAGAGTTGAAAATGAGATGATAAAACAATAGAATTGGGGGAACAATAAATCTGCAGACATAAGAAAACACATGATACAGAACCAATTTATAATCAAATCCAACACTTTAAGGAAGCAGACAGTTGGAAATGAACTTATCAACAAAGGACAAATACACACATGCATAAACTAATAAAGAGAAGGAAGACACAAAAAGGAAAGAATGAACCTGAGGACGCGTGGAGGTCGGGAGAAGGAGTCCCAGGAGAGGCGGGCACTGCGGGGCAGCCTGGGGAGGAGCAGGCCTCCACAGGGAGGGCCCACAGCCCCAGCAGCAGCGAGCACTAGCTGAAGAGGCCTGCAAAGGCTCAGGGCCTGTCCTCTCTAAGACTCAGGCTACGGCACCAGGGCTGGTGGAGAAGTGAGAATAAAGCTGCTTAGACCCAGAATTGAGGGTGCTCCTCAGGCTCAGTCTCCCACAGCACCCAGACAACAGCAGGTGCTAAGTTATAGGAGTTAAATTCACAAGGAGAAAAGAAAGGAAATCCATTTAGGAAACAACAGCTGCAAACTGTGGAAGTTAAGGGGAATATATGGAAAACCAGGCCTAGGAAGCACAAAGAATCACAAAACATTTAGCCAAAACCAGTCTCCTCCAAGGTACGTTATATTCAAACTGTCAAAAATCCAAAATGAAGACTTCTAAACATACCACAGAAAAAAGAACTCAGCGACATATAAGGGAATCCCCACTAAGCTAACAGCGAATTTCTCAACAAAAACCTTACATTCCTGGGCAAAATGGGGTGAAAGATTCAAAATCTTAAAGAAAAAAGTGCCAAACAAAGAGTTCTGTCTCAGAAAAGCTACCACTCAAAGATGGAGCAAAAGCAAACTTTCCAAGTTAGGTAAAAAAAGGAACTCATTACCATGAGACAAGCATTATAAAAAATGGGTAAGGAAATCCTACAACAGAAATGAAGGGACAATAACTTCTACCACACAAATACACAGAAGTCTAAAACGGATGATAAGGTAAAGAGAAAAGACTCAATTTTTATTAATGAAGACAACAGCTGAGCCAGGGATTTCGCTCAGCGGCGTAAGTGCCTGCCTAACAAGCGTGAGGTCATGAGTTTGATTCTCGGTACCACAAAAAAGAAACAAACAAAAAAAGACAACAACCAAACTACAAAGATGAACGCCAAGAGAAGATGGGCCATAAAAACAAGTCTCACTAACTTAAAACCAAAACCATATTATGTATCCTGTTTTGCAACAACTGGATAAAACTAGAAGTCGACAACAGAAACATAAAAAATTGTGTGGATACTTAAAAATTAAACAACCTGCTCTAACACATGAGTTTAAAAAACTGAAAGGAGTATTTTAAAATACTAATTGGAACAAACTCAAACGGAAATACAACATATCATAAAAGGAATGTTAAGAGGGATGTTACAGCAATGTGCCTTTACTTAAGAAAAGAAAGATTTCATGCAAGCTAAGAAGCAGCTCAAGTAACTAGAAAAGCAAAAGCAAAGCAAACTAAAAAACAGCATAGAAGGAAAGAATTTTCAAACATCAAAACATAAAAAAAAAAATACAGACTAACATAATACCAATGATCAACGGCAAAAAGGCATTTTTTTGAAAATACAAACTTGACAAACCTTTACCTAGACTAACCAAGAAAAAGAAACAGAAGAAGAAAATAAATACAACTGGAGAAGAAATGAAAACATTCACACCTAATCACACTGGAACACCAAGGATTAGTAACTATGATAGTTCACATATCAAGTCAAACAACAAGCCGCAAGGCATGCATGGGTATGCCATGGTGACAGACCCACGGAGCGCAGCTGTGCTGCAGGAAACCCCGCCACGAGCCCCTCGGGGCAGCCCCCGTCAGTGCCGCCGCTCCGAAGTCCTCTTCCCGACCGTCTTCAGCTGCAGTCCTGTTCCTCTGATGTTCCACACTGATTCAGAATGTGATCTCTCACGGTCACTGTACTCAGAGGAACAGCCAGAAGCGGCACGGTGCCAGCTCCAGTGAGCGAGGTAGGCAGGGACACACTCCTCCCATGACAGGGCATCTGGCTGAGTGTTCACCAGCTCTACAGCACTGCGTAAGGGCAGGCAAGAGCACTTCCCGGGCAAGCAGGAGCCTGTGAGTGGGCCTGAGGCGTGCATCTGGTCAGCAGATACACGGTGTCAGCCCGAGAGGTCCAGAGCTTAACCAAGGAGCTCAGCAGCTCTCCGGCCTGGGTGTACAGGACGTGCCATTTGCCTCTCTAGAATGTGGCCATTGTGTCCATCTGGGAAGGCCACAAGCTTAACCAGGTGACTCAGCAGACACCCTCACCTGCCCAAGAGGGGGCCCTGAGACGTGCGAGTGCCACACACAGGAGGCAAAGAGGTCTGCTCCCTGCCCTTTTTGCTTTTGCTGCTTTGCTGTCTTCTGCCACCTTAAAGCATTACCCCTGTGCCACGCCACCCTGCCGTGGAGCCAGCTGCTTACAGACTGAGACCTCCACAAACTGTGAGCTACACAAACCTTTCTACCCGTCTTTTTGGGTGTCAGGTATTTTGTCCCAGAAGCACTGAGAGAAAACTATCCAAGATACTATCTTTTACTGTAATGATTTTTTTAAATTAAGCATTCACCATATTTTTGATCATACCTCATATCCTGGACAGCAAAACTGAGCAATGCAAATTCTGAAAAGCTGATTTTAAAAAAAAAAAAAACTCCTAACAAAGAAAAGCCCAAAATAGATGGCTTCACTATTCAGTTTTACCAAACTTTTAAAGAAGAACTAACATGCATTTGTGTCAAAATATTTTTAAAAATTGGCAGGCAGGGAAAGAGTTCCAAACTCATTCTCAGAGGGCGGTAATATCTTATTTCAAAACTGGAAAAGAAGACAACAAAAAAGACAAGAGCAGATCAACATTTCTGATTGAACATAATATACAAATTCTCCATGAAATCGTGGGGAACTGATGACAAATTCTCGTTATTCAAACCACCTAGTCTGATTCTGTTATTGAAACTCTAGAAAATTAACAGAAATATGTATTCTACAGCCTAAACGAATTCCAGCTCAGATGACCCACCGACGGACTCCACCAAACGCTTAAGGAAGCGCCAGTGCCAAGTCTACCTTAACTGCCGTGATGCTGAACCTTTCAGAGCTTTCAGTGGTACGAACAGCCCCTGCGGCTCACGCCACAGGTTCCCTGACTGCTATGTAACCTCCTCTGGAACACAGAGGAGGAGGAGGGAACGCACTAGACTAATCCTGTGATAGCAGCATTACCCCAGTACTAAAAACAGGAAAGATATTGCAGAAAAGAAAGAAATGGAAAAAAAGAATGAATGAAAGAGAAAGAATGTCAGAAGA